GGGTGAGAATCACTTTCTTAGTCCTCCCTTCCTAGTCATTCTTCCTGACATGAGTGGACCACCTGGGTTTCGATGAGTCCCCTAGGTTGGCGGCCTCTGTCCATTCGGAGAGGTCCGCTGTGGGGACTTCCCCCAGCACTCAGCTTCCTCTTGCTCTCTGCCTTGCACAGTTCCCACGGTAGAGGTAAAAGCCTCTCCATGTTGACCACTATTGCAGATTCTGGTTAATGTAGGGACCTGCCCGAGCAGCCCCCTCAGGAAACACGACTCTTGACTAGTTAATCAAAATAACTTTTACTGAGATGTAGTGGTTGCAGTAGAGCCAAGTGGAATCTAACATTCCCACACAAAGCAACAAGCTATTCTTCCCACAATGAAACCCTCACCAGTCCACCAGCAGCCAATACAGTGTTGCAAGGTTGTTTTGAGAACACCAAAGTACAGGATAGATAGTGGTTCATCTTCAGGGCAAAGCAACCTTCGTAGCATACTGAAACTAGGTGGGAAGGAGTCCGTCCCATCTCTGAAGGCGATCCCCCTCCCCATTTCCCAAATAAGTACAGCACTACAACAGAAGCAAATGTATGCAAAGAATGCCTCCCCAAAGTGGACCTCCTCCCCCTCCACCAGAATGGCAGGACACCTGAAAAAGGGGACCTGACAAGAACAAGCTGGATTTTACCCCCAAATGTGATTGTAGCAATCAAGTCATTGTATTAACTTCCTACCTGGAGAATGGATTCCAAGACAAAATGAAAAATGTCACTGTTTTTCTTGATGTCTCGTTGGCCTACAATACTGTCTGGAGAGAAGGACTTCTCCTCAAACTAATCAAGGTACCTTGTCGTAACTCCATTGCCTAGATTGACATGTTGAATAATAGGTTCTTTCAAGTTTTTCACAGAATTCAGTAGACATAGATATTTTCAGTTGAATAACACGACCTGCTTGAAACCGTTTCTTGGAAATTTATTTATGCCGATGATATCAATCTCACAGTCCAAAGAACAAACTTCAGTGATGCCGAGGACATCCTTTCTCAAGTTCTCCAGAAGCTGGATGACTTCTTCAAAAAATGCTGCCTCCAATCAAGCCTAACAAAAACAAAAGTAGCTACATTCCATGTCAGCAATAGGTATGCAAATTACTATCCTTCAGTGAAATTCCAGAACTGTATTTTACAATGTAATAATTATCCAAAGTACCTGGCATAACACTGGAGAGATCTGACAACACTTAGAAAAACAGCTGCGAAATTGAAAACCTGCAACAATTTACTGAACAGACTGGCTGGAACAGTGGTTCTCAACCTTTTTAATGTCGCGACCCCCAACCGGTCGTAAATCGAGGACTACCCAACCGGTCATAAGTCGGGGACTACCCAACCGGTCGTAAGTCGAGGACTTTCCCTGCCCGGGAGCACCGTGCATGCGTGGTGCCGCCCCCTGCGTCGGCCAAGGCGTAGCTGGCAAGCGGCAAAGACGGCGCAGGCCGACCACCGGCTGGGCCACCAGCTGGCCCAGCCCAAGGGAGGTAAGGCACCCGCCGGGCCCCACGTGCACCAGCAACCCTCCCTGCACCTGCCGGCCTCCCACCCCTGGCCCTCTTTTACTTACATTTTTAGTAGTCTCTCAGCAGGGAGGGGTGGAAACTTCCAGACAGCTTGCCTTCACTGCAGACAACTTGCAGCACCGTTTGCAGAATGTGACTTTTGGTGGGCTCAACAGGGTAGAGACAGCCTGGACAATTCCTATTGGCTTTTGAAAGCCAATGTGTAAGGACCCACCCCACTTTGCATCTTAAGAAGACAGAACTCTTGGAATAATTCTTCCAACAGGCATCCTTTATTAAAAGAAAATTGTTGCAAGCGTTCTAGACAGGACTTGGGGTCCAAGCTCTCCCATTCAAGGTTTTAAGGGGTTCCCCAGTAGCCCCACCCAATCACCCCCCTCTTCCAGCGACAGTCTCAGGCATTACACTCCCACCCCCTTTTCCTTACTGCCGGCTGGATGGAGACTTCAAAGAAAACTACATAAAAGGTAATAGCCCCATTCTTATGGTTAGCTCTTTTGGCAATACACACATCCAGTTCCTTTGAAGTGTACCGAAGGAAGTGAGGGCTATAAAGCCCCTTTGTTCACCCCCTTCCCTTCATCGTATGACAGAATCCATAGAAGGCAGAAATGAGTTTTTTATAATTGATAACTAGAGATGAAATATAATTGGATTCTGACACAATGGAATTAGACTCTATTCAAGAGAGTCTATTCTATTGGCTTTCAAAAGCCAATAGAATAAAAGGGAGTAGCACAGCTAAGGAAAAGGGGGAAAAGTGGCGGACTGCATTGTTTGGTGACCCCCGTGAAATGGTCGTTCGACCCCAAATGGGGTCCCGACCCACAGGTTGAGAACCACTGGGCTGGAACATCCTGGGGTGCTGATGCTAACAGCCTACAAACAACAGCCTTGGCTTTGGTTTATTCCACAGTTGAATATTGTGCCAGCTTGTAGCTTAACTGCCCACATCCAAATGGTTGCTGTCTAATTCCACCATCTCTCATCCCACTCCTATGCACTGGTTACCAGTACTTAGCAATATTAGAAGACAAGAAGCTCTCATTCGCCTGTGGTCAAGGATGTTGAATAACAAGGCCCTTCTTATTTACCAGGACATTGCATGACCCATCATAAGATTGAAATCCTGATGTTAAGCTATTCACTTAACATCTACTCAGCTTAACCCTGAGAATGCTTGGAGAGAGTATTACATATCTTCTGACTGTTAGTGATCCCTCTACCAAACCACCTGGTTTTGACCTGCCTTGCTTTATCTGGTCGAAATTGAATGGAATTAGGTGTGATGCTGGAAGAAGTGCTTCTGCCCTGGATCAGTGGGGATGGAAAGATTCCCTTTGTTGTGATGCCAGTATACAAACTATTAAACATATCGAGCAAGATTGCCCATAACATGCATTCTCTGATTCCCTAGAAAATCTGCATAAAGCAGTGCAGAGGCAATCGCCTGGATAGCTGAATTGGACATCCAGTTATGAGGCCACTGCCATACCCCCATAGAAGTTTTATTTATATATATGTTTACTTCTGTGTATATATGTTTACTTCTCTTCTGTCATGTTCTCATCATATGCATTATTATTATTACTATTATTATTGTGGATCATCGCACAGTCAGCCAGATGTTCAGATTGGATTTGGCATTTTGTCTACCTATCGAGTCCTTACCCAGGACCTGGGATAGGCAGATGTGGATGTTTGATGGTATTACAGATATCGTCGCAGGATGGAAGCAGTTCCTAGTAAGGCCGCCTTTTGCAATTGACTAATAGCAAATTTATCAATGCCAATGGTGTTCAAGTGGTGCTCCAGTTGTTTTGGGATTGCACCCAAGGAGCCTATTACTATTGGTACTACCCTTGCTTGCTTTTGCCACAGTCTTTCTATTTCTATTTGTAGGTCTTTGTATTTTGTTATCTTCTCCAGTTCTTTCTCGTCTATTCTGCTGTCTCCAGGCACTGCCACGTCCACTATCCAGACTTTTTTGTCTTTCTTATCGACAATTGTTAAGTCTGGGGTGTTATGTTGCAGGTGCTTGTCTGTTTGAATTCTGAAGTCCCAGAGCAGTTTAATTTTATCATTTTCTATGACTTTCTCTATTTTATGATCCCACCAGTTTTTGCTTACAGGCAAATGATATTTTTTGCAGATCTTCCAATGCACCATTGTTGCTACTTTGTCATGCCGCTGCTTGTAGTCAGTCTGTGCAATCTTCTTGCAACAGCTTACCAGGTGGTCCACTGTTTCTTCAGCTTCTTTGCATAGGCGGCACTTACTGTCTGTTGCTGTCTTCTCAATTTTGACTTTGTATGCATTTGTCCTTAAGGCTTGGTCTTGTGCAGCCAGAATTAGTCCCTGGTCTCTTTCTTCAATTTTCCTGCTCTTAGCCATTGCCAGGTTTTATTATTATCTGCTTTCCCAGCTATTTTTTTAATGTATTGGCCATGTAGTGCTTTGTCTTCCCATGCCTCTATTCTGTTCTTCATTTGGTCTTTCTTGTAGGCCAGTTTGGTCTCTCCAGTAGTCAGTAAGCTTCCTGATATACTAATTTCAGTGCATCTTCATCATTGTTCTTCAGATATTCTTCCAAAGCCATTTTTTCTTCTTCAACCATCTGATGTACTTGTAGCATTCCACGCCCACCTATTTGCCTTGGTAGATAAAGTCTATCAATGTCACTGCGTGGATGAAGGGCATGATTCATTGTCATTATTTTTCTGGTCTGCCTATCCATTGCTTTTAGTTCTGCTTGAGTCCAGTCCACTATTCCAGCTGTGTACCTAATGACTGGGATTGCCCAGGTGTTGATTGCCTTTATGGTATTTCCTCCATTGAGTTTGGACTTTAAGATCTTCTTCACTCTCTTGATATATTCACCTCTAATCTTTTTCTTGACTTCAGTGTGCTTGATGTTGTCAGCTTGAAGGATACCCAAGTATTTGTAGTAATCTTCCTCATCCAGACTCTTAATGTTATTTTCGTGGGGCATCTTGATTCCTTCAGTTTTCACTACTTTTCCTTGTTTGATAGTAAGTGTGGCACATTTGTCCAAGCCAAACTCCATTACAATATCTTGGCTATATATACGGACAGTGTTGAGCAGCGATTCTATTTCAGATGATGTTTTTCCATACAGCTTCAGATCATCCATATAAAGGAGGTGGGATAGTCTGGCAGATGTTTTTGATGTTTGATAGCCATGTCCTGAGTTATTCAGTATTGTTGACAGAGGAAACAGTGCAATAACAAATAGTAATGGTGATAATGAATCTCCTTGAAATATTCCTCTCTTGATATTAACCTCTCCCAGTCTCTCACCCTTGATCTGCAACTGTGTCTTCCATTGTGCCATCGATCTTTGCAACTATTATTACTATTATTATTATTATTATTATTATTTCTAATTGGGGGAATTCTTTTCGCAGATTCTCCAGGCATGCTAGCTGGCATTATTAGTTCTGTTGTAGTAGCAATAGCTGGAGCTCTTTCAAGTTTTATAGCATACCAGAAGAAGAAGCTTTGCTTCAAACCAAGTGGTAAGTTACAACAAACTAGACTTGAAACCCCAAAATTTGGGGTTGTAAGATCTCCTAAAATAATTGCTTTAACTACATTGACAATGGATGATTCCCGATGTAATTGAAAGCTCACAATTTGAAATAAACTTTGGATGTAGAATGTTACTCTGTTCAAGGTTGAGCTGAATATACATAAATATAAGGTATTTTAACTGTGCTTGTTTCTACAGATCAAGAAAACATTCCTGTGGAAAGCCAGCAAGGAGCACATGCAGCTCCATCTGGTAAGGTCATAAAGAGCTTTAAAAAATTACATATACACCTTTCTTCACCTGCAAAAGTGGCTTATATTTGTGATTTTGTGCAGCTTCCCACCTAGGTAGTTTTATCAAGTCACGCCTACAGTGCCTCATTTAAGAAAAACAAAACATGGTTTCTTCAGCCTTGTTGTTGTTGTTAGTTGCAAAGTCGTATCCGACCCATCGCAACCCCATGGACAACATTACTCCAGGCCTTCCTGTCCTCTACCATCTTCTGGAGTCCATTTAAGCTCACGCCTACTGCTTCAGTGACTCCATCCAGCAACCTCATTCTATGTCGTCCCCTTCTTCTATTGCCCTCAATCTTTCCCAGCATTAGGCTCTTCTCCAGTGAGTCCTTCCTTCTCATTAGGTGGCCAAAGTATTTGAGTTTCAACTTCAGGATCTGGCCTTCTAAAGAGCAGTCAGGGTTGATCTCCTCTAGGACTGACCGGTTTGATTGCCTTGCAGTTCAGGGGACTCGCAGGAGTCTTCTCCAGCACCATAGTTCAAAGGCCTCAATTCTTTGTCGCTCAGGCTTTCTTATGGTCCAACTTTCATAGCCATACATCGCAACTGGGAAAACCATAGCCTTGACTATACGTACTTTTGTTGGCAGGGTGATATCTCTAATTTTTGGTATGCCGTCTAAATTTGCCATAGCTTTCCTCCCCAGGAGCAAGCGTCTTTTAATTTCTTGGCTGCAGTCCCCATCTGGGGTGATCTTGGAGCCCAGGAAGATAAAGTCTGTCACTGTCTTCAATTTAAGCCTAAATTTTGCAACGAGAAACTCATGATCTGAGCCACAGTCAGCTCCTGGTCTTGTTTTTACTGACTGTATAGAGTTTCTCCATCTTTGGCTGCAGAGCACATAGTCAATCTTGATTTCTGTGTTGACCGTCTGGTGACGTCCATGTGTAGAGCCATCTCTTGGGTTGTTGGAAAAGAGTGTTTGCTATGACCATCCTATTCTCTTGACAAAATTCTATCAGCCTGTGCCCTGCTTCATTTTGTACTCCAAGGCCAAACTTGCTGTTATTCCAGTTATCTTTTGGCTTCCTACTTTAGCATTCCAATCCCCCATGATGATAAGGACATCATTTTTTGGGTGTTGATTCTATAAGGTGCTGTAGGGCTTCATAGAACCAGTCAATTTCATCCTCTTCAGCACCAGTGGTTGGGGCATAGATTTGGACTACTGTGATATTGAATGGTTTGCCTTGGATTCAAATTGAGATCATTCTGTCATTTTGGGGATTGTATCCCAGTATTGCTTTTCCTATTCTTTTATTGACTATGAAGGCTACTCCATTTCTTCTGAAGGATTCTTGCCCACAGTAATATACCTTATGGTCCTCTGAATTAAATTCACCCATTCCTGTCCATTTTAGTTTGCTGATTCCTAAGATGTCGATGTTCAGTCTTGTCATCTCTTGTTTGACCACATCCAGTTTGCCTTGATTCATGGATCTTACATTCCAGGTTCCTATGGAGAAAAGATCTTTACAGCATCGGACTTTCCTTTCACCATCAGATGCATCTACAGCTGAGCATTCTTTGGCTTTGGCCCAGTCACTTCACTCTTTCTGGCGCTACTAGTACTAACCCTCTGCTCTTCCCCAATAGCATATTGTACACCTTCCGACCTGAGGGGCTCATCTTCCAGCATCATATCTTTTTGCCTTTTAGTACTGTCCATGGGGTTTTCATGGCAAAGATACTGGAGTGGGTTGCCATTTCCTTCTCCAGTGGATCACATTTTGTCAGAACTCTCTGCTATGACCTGTCCGTCTTGGGTGGCCCTGCACGGCATAGCTCATAGCTTGATTGAGTTACACAAGCCCCTTCGCCACGACAAGGCAGTAATCCATGAAGGAGTCTTCAGCCTAGTGTCTTCATTTTATTTTATTGCTAATTTTTGTATTGTAGATTAGATACAGTTAGCTCAGTCAAGAGAACTGACTGGACCAAGACCATTGAAATAAACTTTTGGAAATAGGTGGGATTTGCATGGAACCATTTTAAGTTTTTTTGAATTTGATGGTAAATACTAAGCATAGATTTACCAGACATAATTACTACATATAAAACAAAGTTCATGCTATTAGGGTTCATTTTGTTCCTTCCACAGAAGACAGCAGGAATCTTTTTTCATTAGTTTGTCACTTTACAAAGTTTCAGACAATCTTCAATACTCATAGAAAGGCCAGGTTTATATATATGCATACTTGTCCTTTATCATTTTATTTTTACTTATAGTTTTTCTCTAGCATATTAAAAAAAGTCTAATATTGTTTTCAGTGTTTAATCAGAATCCTGAAATATGTCAGAAATTAGGAAAATATAAGTCATTTTAGGATTTTTTAATGAAGAAAATTTCCAAAATAAAAAGAATAATTGCCATAAGGAAATAATAGAACTGGGATGATAATGAAGCCCAAGTGGTTACATTTAATCTAAAGAAAAGAGAGGCAAAGCTGCCCTTTCTGTCTTGACTTTTTCTTTAATTTTAATTTTATAATAAGGAAAGTACCAGCCACCATCCTCTTCATTTCCAATTATGCCTCAGACTCACAAAGAGCCTTTAAAGGAAAGTGAGTGAGAGACTTTGGCAATATTTTAAAACCCATCTGGTTGAGGAAAAAAGGAAGAGAGAGAAAACCTTAGATGAGCATTTGCTCTTTCTTTAAATACTTTCTTAGGACAATCTGTTTAAATCTGATCAGAACCAAATGTATTTAGTGATGCTTACTTCCAAGTGTGTTCAGGATTACAACTTTAACTGGAAAAATTAATACTTGTAATTATATATACAATTATAAGTTGGCTATGGGTGAAATGAGTCAGAAACTTGACAGTATGTGTCGAAGGTGCTTTTTCAAGAGGTAACTGGACTTTCTTGTGCTTTTTTGAAGATGTTTTGTTCTCATCCAAGAAACTTCTTCAGCTCTGACTGGATGGTGGGGAATGGAAGGATTTATATTCCTTGCATTTTTTTAGAGAGTTGTTGAAACCACTTGGAGGTTTATTTATGTCTCTCACTCACTTTCCTTTAAAGACTCTTTGCGAGTCTGAGGCATAATTGGAAATGAAGAGGATGGTGGCTGGTACTTTCCTTATTTTAAAGTTAAAATTAAAGAAAAAGGCAAGATAGAAAGGGCAGCTTTGCCTCTCTTTTCTTTAGTGGTGCAAATGGGTGTGGAGCCTTCTTGGAATCGCTGAAAGGACTGTGTTGTAGACTGGTGTTACATGATGTCATATCCCTCCCCTTCTATTGAGAGAGGGCTGTTCAATTTTGACATGTCAAAATTGGCTATATCCCATAAATCTTACCACATGTGACCTTGAGGACACAGATAAACCTCCAAATGCCCTCAAAAACTCTCTAAAACAATGCAGGAGGTTTTTAAGTAATATTTAGCATGAGCTATAACAACTTTCAGTTATGGACTATATGTTTTTCATTTTCTGTCTGTTCAGGTAGTATACTGTAGTAGCAGAGAATATAACTTTTCTCATTATTTTTCCCCTTTTAGTTCAACATACACTTTTGCAGAAACAATAACAGAATTTGATATGAAGAGAAGACCAGAAACTGGATTTATAGCCTGCATAATTTCCTGAAGGAGCAAGGGAATGGAATTGCAAAGTAAATCTTTAAAATAGGCCTGTTGAAACATCTTCAGAAAGGGAGTGTGATGTTTTTAACCAATGAAAAATATTTTCCTCCACTATTTACCCTTTGAAGTTCAATTGTATGCAGGGTGATTATTGTTTTAAAATGTATTTTTATGGCATTTGTTGATTGGATTAAAGTTTTTTTTCTATTTTCTATTTTTTTTTTAGCAAGAACCTTGAAAAGGGAGATAGGTGTACTTGTAAAATACTTTCAGGCAGGTTGTTCACTAAGTAAAAGTATGTTGATTATAGATATCTCTAAGAAGTACAGTTTGTCTTTACATACTGATGCATATCATACTATATGGATAAGGCCAGCTATTTAGATATTGGGGCAAAGCACAAGTTTGCTCTTACCAGATGAGTAGCTCTTAATACAGTACAATTGCTCACTTCATAATTGAGGTTATGTATTATAAATATGTATGAATCGACTTAGGACTAAGTCCCCTTGTCCCTGAATCTCTAGTTCATAAATATTAACATTTTTGCTTCTACATGTTCTTGGTCACATTTAGAAATTGGACATGGAGTAAATGCCTTATCTGACTAGCAAATCTTTTGAAATTTTATCATTGTATACAAGTACATAGGAATTGAAGGCATTAAAAATCTAAGTTGCCTTAAGTTTTGACTCAAAAATAAACTTAAAATAATCCTTATCTTGAACATGTTTGCATCTGAAAATTTATTTCTTGTATGTAGTAAGGCTATATTTCTGAGCTGCATGATGCTGGAAATAAATATGATTTTATAGAACATACACCATGCTCCTACAGGCTTTCCAATACTTTCTTGAAATGGAATCCAAAACACTTTATAGCCTTAAGATGAATCTATCATTTTTACATCAAGTTTACTTAAGGTTAGTGTGGGAAATGTTTGATATGCTCTCCTGGTTCCTATTGCCAATATCTGCCATTGGTAGGCCTTAATTAAATGTGAGAACATAGCCAAGGTATATAATGGCTTAGGTTCTTAGGCCAATTATGACCAAATATGATGTGGATATGGATCCTGGATTTCAATAACATGTTATGTGCAACAATTATATTGGGACACAGCCTCCTCCCCCCTACACTGTCAGTTCAACAAGGAACCTCTTTGTATTGGGAGGTTAAGATTTTGGAGTGGTGATGGGAGAAACTCAATGGTCTAAGCTTGCTTAGGGTTAGCATTCTGTCTGGGAAATTTGGGGAGTTGAATTCCACACAAGTTGCCAAGTTTGAAAAACATTGGTCCAAATTAATTCTTCCAATTCTGGGATTTTTTTAAGAGTGATAAAATTGCACTATAATAATTCAGAGCTACCACAAAATTTTGGTGACATTTTGAGGGAGCTACTTTGGGGGAATCATACGCAGTGGATGCTACTTGGCCATTTTAAAGTAGCTTGTCGGAGCTGTTTACTATTCCTTTCAGACGGGGGAATAAAGGTGAGGAGCAGGCACATTCCTTGCTGAACTATAAACGTAAATAAGCATGTGAATTAGTCCATAATTAGGTCTTCTTTTGCCCTTTATTCCATAATAAAGTAACTTTTCAGTAACGGAGTTGCTGCTTAAAACTATTTAAAATTGCATGTGCCTCTATTTAAGAATTTACCTTACAGTTCATAAGTGCCCTACTAGTTCTGTGCTTTGCATTTCATAAAGACTTATTTGTGCAATATTCTTCAAAAAATAGATAATAAACTTCAGTTGCAGATGCCTTATGTACAATATCTTGAAGTGCCAATATATGAATTGAGTAGGAATGTGAGCTGAGTGTTTTATATTGTTTTATTAAAAGGAGGTTTGGAAATGCTCACTGAGACCATGTAAATTGAGTTAAATATCCTACTATAATTTAAATTGGTGATAAACTGAAAACAAAAATGTGGGTATCATGTTATTTAAGGGGAACTCACATAATTTCAAGTTAAGCATCATGCCAAAGTGAATTAAGTAAATGTTTGCATAATCTGATATGTGTATACATAGCCTTCTAGAAATGAATATCAGGCCAATTTCCAATTTAAATTAGATGCAAGTTAGCTGCATAAGTGATGCCTGGATTTCTAAGTTACCCTTTGCACTTCAATAAATAAAATATCAGTTTTCTGTCATGTGAATCTAGCATACATTCAAAACCAAATCTTAATAAATTCAACAAGAACCTGCATTTTGAAGAAAAATGTGGCATGATTTAGATCAGGGCTTTTCAACCTTTTCACAGATTGTACCACTTTTAGGACATGACAATATTTGAGTACCACCAGTGGTTAGCAAGTTGTCAAAAAGGGGTGGGGAATTTTGGGTTTTACTGATTAGATTCATTTGTTGTTATAGAAATGGCTAGTTTATAATATTATGGAAAAGTAAAAAGTTGAGGTTCAATGTTAATGCTTCCTTCTACTGCAACAGAGGAAATATGTTCTTTTCCCCTTCCCCCTCACTTTCCCCCCTTTTTCTTCACGACTGTGTCCTACTATTTGCTTTTGTATTGTTGTATTTTATTCTATAATCTAATAAAATATTACAAACTGTAGAAAAAAAGTACCAATTTTAATTCCTTTTGTGGCTGTTCCTTTGCTGAATCACTTTCCCTTTGCAGTGACAAATGTATGATGAATTCAAACTTGGCACTTTTATGACTTGTGGACTTCAACTCCCAAAATTCCTCAGCCCTTATGGCTGGTTGAGGAATTCTGGGAGTTGAAGTCCACAGGTCTTAAAGTTGCTAAGTTTGTAGACTCCTGAGCTAGCTGGTTGGCCCTTCTGAGCTTTTCCAATTCCTTCCCTTAAAGACACAGGAATCAAGTGCAAAGCAAGAAAATAAAGAAACACAAACTCCAATTTTTTTTCTCTTTAAGCTGCCTCTGGTAATTGTGAAAAGCTTTAGCTTTAAATTAAGCCTGTTTACCTTCAAAGAAAACTTTCTAAAAGCCACAGACAGACTCAATTAAAGGGGGTAAAACTAATTACATTTGTTTAAAGGGATTAAACCTTTCCTGATGTCTTTTTTCCCCTTCCCCCACCCAAACCACATTCTTTTATAGCCTCTCCTCTCCTCCCCCCCCCCCTTTTTTTTTCTTCAGTTCACCTCCAGCTCCAAGCTGCTTCTGGAAGTGCCAATCAGCTGGAGCCAATCAACTGGAGCCCTGCCTGTTCCTGGGGCTTCTGCCAAGCCCAGACAGTCCTGCAGCTGCAGCTGCCTCTCCCTCAGCCTTGGCTCACTTTGGCTCATTCCCCTCCCCTGCTACACTTGGCTAGCAATCACGTACCAACTGCCATGTGTCAAAGTACCACAAGTGTACACGTATCACTGGTTGAAAAGCTCTGATTTAGATGATTGCAATTAGCAATTACAATATTTCTATATACCATGTTTCCCCGAAAATAAGATCTGGTCTTATTTATTTATTTTGCCTTCAAAAAAGGCACCAGGTCTTATTATGGGGGAATGTCTTTTCCACTCACCTCACGGCAGCAGTACTGACAGCCCCGCCCAGCCAGCACACTTCTTTTGTGACTGAAGGAGCAGCTTCATTCTGCAGCTGATAATGGAGCTCCAGCCTGCATTTTGCAGTCAGAGGCCTTCTGGAAGAGCCTCTGTAGCTGAAAACCGAGCTACCAATTAAATCCATTAAAATCCATTAAATCCGGTGAGGCAAGTGTCGATCCATGGGAGGCCTGGCTGCAATGGTAAGATCCACCCACCCTCACCCTAACTTGATTTGTAGGCATGCACCTCACCCTAAAACTAGGCTTATTTTTGGGGTAGGGCTTATATTAGGCCCACCCCCAAAAATCAACCTAGGGCCTATTTCGGGGTAGGTCTTACTTTCAGGGAAACATGGTAATCCTTATTTTGTGAACCAGGACTGATGCAGAAAAAAGATTGCTATTGATAATATTGATATTTACATGTGTTACTGAACAGAAGGATTAGTTCAGACCATAAATACACTGAACTACTTGTGGCAAACTAAGCATGATTTATTGAATGAGCTGTCTTCATCTGTTTGTTCTTCCTCACCCACCAGTAGTGCAGAATTTAAATCAACAAATCCAGACATCTGTGAACTATTGAGGAAGAGAAGAATCAGCAGATGCAATAACAATACTTTAGCCAGGAGTTCTCATGTTATTCCATTGTGTCCATACTTCGTTATAGAAATAATGAGAACATGTTTGGAATATGCATTTAATAGAGTATCCTATACATTTTTAAAAAATGGAATAAAGTTTCACATAGTACTGTACAGACAATTCCATGTAAATGTGCATGTGCAGAAGTGGCTGCTATTTTGCATGTATTTGGATGTAAATACCATTGAACTAGATCAGGGTAGGCAACCTTGGTTCTTTCATGCTGGCTCAGGAATTCTGGGAGTTGAAGTTCACGAGTCATAAAAGAGACAAGGTTGCCTACCCCTGAACTAGATGGTATTGTTCTTTGGGAAAAAATGCATATGATTAGGCCATTAACCTCTTTAAAGCAAATCATTACCATGGGTTGACAATATGATTCATGTACACTATATGAAATATATCATTCAATATGTTTAATTTTTAAATAGATTTATGGTTCTTTAGATTATGAGAATCTTTAAATATTTGGTAATTAAAACTTGTCATTTGTTTTTAATAAAGAAATCTAAAATTATTGTTTGCTTGATTATTTTGAGAAAATGTCATTGCAGGATAGAATTTTCTATTTTTAGAAGAGGATTTGAGATCTAGATCAAGTAGAAGTAGTTTATGAAATATGAACATCTATTTTTTGACCAGATAGATACCTGGATTCATTTTGAAGAAAAGATCAAAGGCACATAATGGAATATCCAGCACAAACATATTCCAAGATAAACACAGGCTAATTCAGATAGATTCAAGTCAAATATATTTTATAAATTCAGCTACATTAACACAATATGTTTCTTCTAGGAATGCCATATTGAACAACTTTGAACAATATTTTGTTTACAGTAGTGATTCCCTTAAGAAATTAGAAAATGGTGTTACTTCTCAAATGTATTCACACTTAGAGGATTGCAAAGGCTAAGCAATCCAAGACAAAGCAAGATATTTATTTTTCATTTGATCATCAGTTCAAGGAAATCCTCTTATAGAAGATAAAGCAATGCCATTCAAGAAAATAATTTTTGCAACAAAATGTAATGTTATATGCAAAAAAGCTAATTATATGACGATGCTTCAAATTTAGAGCTTCCAGAAAAGAAATACAAAATGGCAGCAAAGGGTTGGAACTTTCTTTACCTCTGCTGCCATTTAGTGGTCTAGGTTTCTGCAACCCAGGTGTAGTAGCCCTATTAAATTCTGCAGTTTATAAATCATGGAAACTTGGTTCATGTTTGTGCTATAAATACAAGTAGTCCTTGACATATGACCATAATTGAACCCAAAATTTCTGTTGCTCAGGAAGATGCCCCATTTTATGACCTTGCCACAGTTCTTAGCTAAATCACTGCAGTTGTTAAGTTGGTAATACAGTTGTTAAGTGACTCTGGCTTCCCCACTGACTTTGCTTCAGAAGATCACAAAAGATATCACATACCCTGGGACACTGCAATCATCATAAATACATGCCACTTGCAAGTATCCAAATTTTGATTATGTGACCATGGAAATATTGCAATGGTCATAAATGTGAAAATAGTCATAAGACATTTTTGGTGGCCATAACTTTGAATGGTCACTAAACAAATGGTTATATATCAAAGATTACTTGTACACCAAATAAGTATAAATTAGTAAAATACTGTCCGTTGTGCAGCTAAAACTGTCTATTTAACTCTGGGTTTAACTCCGGAAGCACTAACTAGGCCTGGAATCTTGCAAGTGCGGGATAATCCAGCAGCTCTGAAGTTCTATATCAAATTTCCATGGTCTGCCCTACAGATGTATGAGTCTGCAGCTGACTGGAAAGGTGGGAATTAAAAGTCTGGGAAAGATTCTGGCTTCTTGAAATTCAGCATTTTTCTTATGTATCTTTCAGCACTAATCAAACAACTTCACCTAGGGACATCCAGATATTTTACAATATTTAAAGACAGAAAATAGGTTTAATACTTGATTTAATGAATGAAAGAAGAAGCTCTTATTATTGAAGTATCAAAGTATTGAACAACACATTTCCAATAAAAACAAGAGTTTCTAATTTCCAGGGATTTGATAGCCAATAGAACATTATCCTCTTCAGGATGAATGCAAGGTATATGTATATTTTTATACCATATCAAGTTTGTCTGTATTGAGTCTTAAAAAACAAATTTGTAAAGGTTGGGAATTTTCTTTGAAGAGAGATGAGTAAAGAAAAAAATTGATCCAGGCCTCTTCAGGGCTGCCAGCAGTTTGATTCATCCCATTTTCTCAATGTAAATTCCTCTTACTACGTATTAGTTGAGGGATGATTCTTGCAACATCTATGTGTGGGTGTTGCATTAAACAGCTGCTAAATGTTGAACTAGTTTGTGACTGGATTGTGTTTTGTTCCCACCTTCCCTGTTAATTGGACATTTAAGGCATCTACAAGATTTGTGGTTGGAGAGGTACATACTTTACTAAGAATTTTTTTGTTTAATTCTAATACCTTTACTTCATGTTATAAAAATAAAAACCAAGACATGGTGAGGCTGCCAATTGCTTTTTTGTGCATTGGATACATTCTGTTAACTCTTGCAGGTAAGTTATTGGATTCTTTGGTTTTGGTGATGGATACTATGTGTAATATTGATATAATTCTAGTGTTTTTCTAAAACAAATTATTTTAGACTCAAGTTATATCAAAAGCCCACTTCTGTACTTCAGGGTTGATAGGAAACTGATGTACCAAGTCATATGTTAATTTATCTCAATAGCATATGACAATTGAACCTATGGCATGTGTTGATCACTGATCAATATTGAGCGAGACTTCAGATGTATGTATATGTTCAATTATATATAGGTGAAGCTGTGAATGAAAATCAGTAACACGAGTTATAAATTTTAAAAAGTGATCTGTCATTTGTTTCTAGTGTTTACACCATTACAGGACAATTTCTAATCTTCTAGTTCGAAGCAATTATTTAAAAAACTAGGAACTAGACAACTGCAGGTATAATTGGATGCTACTGATTTTTAAAATAGCTTTCACCTATATTTTAGATTTTTAGAATGAAAATTATCTTGGTTGCATAGACAATAAAGCTGTTCTAAAACAAAAGCCCTTCAATACTTAAAACTTTGCAACACTTTTGGTGGCAATGATCACAGTCTTGTTTCATATGAATACAATTTGCACTCATATTTTCCCCTGTAGAAATAAAAATCTCTAACCTGATGTTGGGATCATTTTATTTCCTTTTTGTACAAGTTTATTCAGGATAAGATTTTATGATGTTTTAACATGGCATGTCAGAGCATCTGCTAAATAGAAGATAAACTGAAATTATGAATATCTTTGAAATGAATTAAATCATCTTTGGAAACCTATATAGTACAGGCAATATTCATTTAGTTTTCACTGTAAACCTATCTACTGAAATATTCAAGCTGATACTGTATTTTACAATGCAAACAATCCCATCATGATATATTCATTATTTAAAATTATCAAGTTGATTCCCAAATTATAACAATACATTCATGTATAATTTACAAAATGATCTTAGTTTTTATTAGAACTTCGAAATAAAATCCAAGTTAATAGGCATAAACAAAAGTGCCAAAACAAATGTACCTTTCCAGATATTAAAGAACTTTAGTTCCCATAACTTTTACCTCAAGTAGGTGATCATGAGAGTTTTATTCAAATAATAACTTTTAACAGCTGTAGTATGTAGTATCTACATATTAATTGTAGTATCTTCTTCATTCACCAAAGCTACAGCTTTTCTACTAGCAATGATAGAAAAATAAATAATTCAAGTCTGTCTTCTCTTGATTACAATTTGTAGTTATTTTTGTCAGACACGAATAACCAGGAATTCAAGCACTAAAAATTTATTACATGCTACCTATACATAAGAATCTGATCCACCAATGGTCAAGCCAAAATGGTGCTAAATAATGGTCAACGGAATTCACAGGGGGCTGGATGTAGTTTTTTTATGGGAGAGCAAAGATTCCAAACTGATGGAACTTGATTTCACTATTGGATCAGCCTGCTCATCTACAATTTTGTTAATGGAAGATATGACAAGTTTAGTAAATTATTAAAGACTCCAAAAAAGTCTCTGGATAAAAGGTAAACGCTTCTCAGTGCCCTCTGAATTTAAAAAGTGTTAACTTTGTGTAAATTTGTTGGTCTGTGACCATAATAAATATTGATAGATTGTATAAATTTGATTTCAGCATACAGCTTTGATTGGAAATCTGTCTGGTGTTTTTGATCAAATTCCTTTAACTACACAGTCTGAAACATATTTAATGACTAAGTTTAAATTACTAAAGGGTTTTGGAATTTCTTTCAACTTTTTTCTAAGTTTAAAGAAAAAAATATGGGAAAAGTATTGCAGCTGGTTCTCTTTATCTACAATGGATGAGAATGAGGAATGAGAATGTTAAAGAAAAGAAGATGGTTAATGTGAATTTGGTAAAAAGTAATCTGTGCAGCCAAATGAATCTAGATTCTTATTTCTAAATGTTTCAGCCTTTAAGCATAACACGCATTAAGTCAAGTATGTGGACTTTCTAGTTCCAAAATAATTGCATTGGGAGTTGCCTCTTTATGTAACTACAATTATGAATTTCACATGCAGAGACAGCTCTACATGCAGGCAGTGTGCTTTACAAGATGTATTCTTTGTTATACTTATTAATATAAAACATAATAAATGTTCCTTTTCTACACATGAGTCATACATCAAAAATACTTTTCATATTTGCTATATAGCTTGTATTTCCCACCCTCTATCGTTGATTCAGTCTTGACTGTAGAGATAATGCTAAAAGTATTCATTATCTCTCACAATAATACCTTAACGCAGGGTGTCAAACTGGTGGCACATGGGTCGGATGCATCATATACAGGCCACGCCCACCCTGGCTCCGCAAAGGCAAAAAAGTTGTGATATGTCACAATACATCATGTGATCAAGTTGACACCCGTGACTTTTAAAATGTTAATTATATTGTCATAAAATCACATTATTTCATTTTTATAGCTTCTATGCCATATTGATATGTTCACGACCCCTCCCCAAATCAGAATGAGGCATGACTCAGATAACATCATGCCGGTGTTATTAATAAATACTGTATGTTTAAGTATACACAGACATATTTCATTTGTGCCAAAGATTGCGCTAATAATTTCTAAATCTATTTAGAAATTTGATTTGCTTTCCCTCCAATTACACCAGTGGCCATTTATTCCTTCCACATTTCTATAATCTTTTTGAGTTTTGGTACCTGACAGCTTGATTGTTATTTTACTCCTGTTTTAATCCCACAGCTTTCTCTTAACTAAACCAATTTTTCACAGGGTCAGTGTTTTATAACAACTTTTTTTCATACTCATCATCAACTTTTTCTTCTTCCTCATTTCTTCCAGAGCCTATTATTTATTATTATTGTATTTGTCTCTCTCCACGCTGCAATTCTAGTCCATTACTGTTTTATAATAGGAAAGAACTGCACTGTTATTGGTGGTGTCCTATGCAGCAACTTTCCCCACAGTTATGAAGATTCAGTGACATTAGTTGTTCATCTAACACTTTTTTCAAAGGTTCAATTCCAGATTATAGTGCTGCCCAACATTTTCTCAGTCCAGTAACCAATACTTTTTGCCTCTGCATTAGGTACAATTAAATAGGTCCCATTTTTGTCAATCCCATATTTTATGAGCTTTATTCACGCCATCTTGTGAGTGCTGTCACTTTGGTGCTGAATAAGCAGTCTAAATAGACCAATACATCATTCAACTAGCCAATAGGGGAACACTATATACATACATACATGCATGCATACATACATACATACATACATACATATCTCCAAACAGTATTTTCTTGGCCTATTTTAATCCTTGTCCTGCATTTGCTTTTGCAATAAGAAAACAATTTATTAAATAAGGACACTGGAGGAGGTAAAAAGGTAGCAAGTGTTTGGCAAATGGCAAAGAGTCAGACTGACTGGAAAAGAGGAGACAGTGGCAAAACACAATGGTGTCCTGACTTCAGTTTGGGGCAGAGGAACTTGGCAGAGGGAGTTGAAAAGAAGAGTAACTTTGACCCAATAGGATACCATCCATCCCCCAACTTCAGAAGTTTGCATTTTTTTTTTTTAGTGCAGCAGTTAACTGGCAAAGATGTTCATAGAACACTGGAGTCACACCTGACATGGTGGGGACATAGAAATAGGCCAGTCTCTGGTACAGTCTTTCTACATGTCCATAATATAACTGAAATCATTAGGCTGACAGATAACCATTGGAAATAGATATAATCTAGAATTTTAATGAGATTAAGGGATTCCCACAGAATCTTGAAAGCCTGCCAAAACCTCTCCTGACTTCAACTTATACTGTATTTAAGCCAGTTGAGAAATATTTCTTTGGAGTTTCTTTCACAAATCAGATTTTTTTTCCTTAATAGCTCTGCATACTCCTAACCTCAATCACACTGTTATTACAGAATACCATACTCTGGGTCCATTAATCATGTATATGACTTGTTACAAAAAATAAGAAATAATTCTTTTTGGAAAAACTATAGTGGATATTTGTTAGAGAACTTTAATTTCTCTAATTGGTGAAAAATAAATCAGAAGCTCTTACAGTTGACTGCATTTAGCTGATTCAAATAACTTTATATTTATATAAAAATATTTACAATACCATTCTTCTTTACAGCAACATAACTTAAAGAAGATTTCTTACAGAGACAGACCAGAGATAAACCTTGAGACTGGAAATCCAGCTCCTAACTCAATACTCTTTTGCACAGACTCAGTAGCACTTTCTTCACATTGGCTGACTGAGTTACCACATGACTCTTCCTGCTCATGAATATTCCAACACTCCTCCCTTCATGACAGGAAGAGACATCAGACTTATTAACTTAATACATTTTCCATAGTGAACATTACCCAGTGGTTTAGTCATCATGTCTGCCAAATTATCCTCAGAAGAACAATGATGTAAACTAATCAATTTTCCTTTTACAGCTTCCCTGACATTACAATACTTAATGTCTACATGTTTACTTCTGTTCTTCACCCTGTCACCAGTTGCCATTTTTATACAGGCAGCATTGTCTTCAAATACCTTTACAGATTCTTTTACATTAATATTTAAATCTTGCAACAACTGTACATACCATGTTACTTCAGAACACAATTCAGATAAAGCAATAAACTCTGCTTCCGCTGTTGAAATAGCAACAGTTGTTTGTTTTCTGGACTTCCATCCAATCAGAGTCCCTCCAAACAATATTATAATCCCAGAATTTGATTTCCTTGTGTTTATGTCATTTGCATAGTCACTATTGACATAACACTTTAATTTCAATTCCTCAGTAATCTGTATTTGAAGACCCAAATTTATAGTTCCCTTTAAATATCTGAGAACCCTTTTTACACCCATCCAATGTAACTATGTAGGTGCAGCAGTAAAACGACTCAAAATGCTTACTGCGCAAGCTATGTCTGGTCTGGACCACTGTGATAGATATAACAAACTCCCTACTGCTGAGTGATATATCTCTTGATCACAAGTTTCACCTTTGTCCGCACTTAAACTATTATAAAAATCTGCACTCATGGGTGCAGTATTGCAATCTTTCATATTATATTTCTCTAATAACTGCTCAATTTTTCTCCTTTGACTGAGAATATAACCACCTTTTTCATTTTTCTGTATCCATACACCAAGATAACTTTTTTATTTCTCCCAAATTCTTTAATTCAAATTTCTTTCCTAATTTATCAGCAAATTCTTTGACTTGTGATGCATCCTTTGCGATGAAGCAAAGATCATCCACAAATGATAACAGTAGACAATTCCCTCCTTGTAACTGTCCAGTATATATACAGTTATCAGCTTTGCAACTTTTAAATCCAAGATCCTTTAAAGCAGTATCTAAACAGATATTCCAGTTTCTGGCTGACTGCTTCAGCCCATAAATAGCCTTGTTTAATTTATATACGATGTTAGGTTTTGCAATTTCATATCCTGGTGCTTGGATCATATAAATTTCTTCCTCTAACTTAGCATTGAGGAATGCAGTTGTGATATCAAAGTGCCAGATTTTATGCTTATATGCCGCTGCCAATGCCAGTGCTAATCTTATACTCTCACTTTTCACAGTTGGCGCAAATACTTCATCATAGTGCACATTCTTTAATTGTGAAAAACCTTGTGCCACTAACCTGGCCTTATACTGTATATCATTATTTGGCAATACCTTTTTCTTATATACCCATTTACAACCCACAGCTTTGGTTCCCTGTGGCAAAGTCACTGATTTAAATACTTCATGGTCTCCCATGGATTTCATCTCTTTATCCATGGCCTCCTTCCATTTTTCTTGTTCAGCTTGCCAACACTTCTTTATAACTTCTTGGCTCATACCACACATTACAAATCTTTACCTTGCTGGCAGAATACCTGTCAGGCGGAATTCCTTTATTACATCGCTCTGACCTACGAGGTATTAACTGCTCCTGTGTCTCAAGACTTTCTGGTTTCATGTCTTGTTCAGCCTCTCCTCCCTGAACATTGACATCTTCTATACTCATTTTTTCATCATTAGATGAATTATTGTCACTAAACAGATCACCGTCATTAAATGAGACATACCCAGAATTTGCATTAATTCTGTCCCAATTTTGTTCTGTTATTTCAAATTGTTGAAATAACAATTATTTTACTTCCATCGCTAAAGCAATACCCTTTTGACCCTGGCTCATAGCCCACAAACCTGAGCTTTCTTGCCTTTTGCTGTCCCTTTCTTCTGATTGCTTTCGGAATATGTACCCATGCAGTACTTCCAAAAATTCTCAAATGTGCCAGTGATGGCTTTCTCCCATATAGAATGACATATGGAGTATTATTAATGGAGGAACTCCACAGCCTGTTAACTATATAATTGGCAGTCAATATGGCTTCTCCCCAATATGAACTGCTCATACCAGAATCCTCTAATAATGAATCTTTCATTGTTTGCAAAACACCATTCCTTCTTTCAGCTCCACCATTCTCTGCTGCTGTGTAAGGATTTGTACGTCTGTGTCTTATCCCCAACTGCCCCAACCATTGTTGGAATTTAGTTGACATAAATTCAGTACCTCTGTCAGTTTGCAATTGACACACTTGTTGTCTGTACCTTCTCTCTACAAACTTACCCACTGTTTGAATTGTTGTAGCACCTCTGTCTTATCTCTAAGCAAGTAGCAAAACGAATACCTGCTATAATCATCAACAATTACCACTGCATATTTTCCTCCTCCCAAACTGGATTGCATAGGTCCCACCAGATCTGCATGGACCAGCTCTAGAACTCTTTTTGTTTGTCTTGTGCTATATTTATTAACTGGGAATGCCTTTGACTTTGATGCTTTGCATATTGCACAGTCCAAATATGTTTTGCATCCCTTCAAATTTAACCCTTCTGCAAAATCTTGCATTTGCTGCAAAACTTTAAAGCTTGCATGGCCAAGTCTTCTATGCAGAAGATGAACACATGAATCATGCTCTGCAACATTCTTAAATATATGGGAACATTGAACCCTTTTCCCTGCAATACATATAGATTATCTTCCTTTATGCCTTCTGCACAAATATTCCCATTCCTTTTGATGAGACACTTCCCATTTATAAAAATGATCTCAAAACCTTGTTTATCTAAATTAGACACACTTAACAAATTATGTTCCATCTCAGGTACACAAAGCACATTGGTAAACTTTGATTCCAAATATGGAATTTTTACATCGCCTTTTCCAATGACTTTTGCTTTCTGGCCATTTGCCAAAGCCACAGCTTCTTGTGCTACTGGAACAAACCTGCAACATAATTTAGAGTCATTAACAATTGTTTGACTTGCCCCACTATCAATTAGCCACTTGTCTCTGTTGTTGCTATTGCAAACTCTTGCAACACCAAAATGTTCCTTTTGCAAAGCAGTCCTTTTTCTTTGCACAAATGTCTTTTTCTGCAAATTGTAGCAAGTCTTTTCCCGCTGAGCAGCTCTCTGCTTGCAAAATCTCTCCTGTGTTGCAATTTGGTCCGGGTTTGATCTGCTTGTTTCTTCTCCTCTGGAGACTTGCAGTCTGGACCCCCTCCTCAGGAATTTCTCCTCCTCGTGGCTGCTTCTAAAATGGCATTTTTCTTCTTCATTAAGCAAACATGCCTTTAAAGCTTCAAAATTTAAGTCTTGCTCTTCTTTGCACTCAAATATTGCAGAAACTGTGTCCCAGGTTTTATCTAAACTGTTCAACACCAATAAAACCTTCTGGGACTCAGGGAATTTAATCCCACGTTGTTCTAAGTCCAAAAATAAACTTTGCATTTTATTTAAATGCTGTTCCACAGATTCACCTGGTTGCAAACAGGCTCTGTAAAGTTTTCTTGACAATTGCACTATGTTGCAAGCAGAAACATTCACGTGCACAGCTCTCAATTTCAACCATATTTCCTTTGCAGGCTTTAAATTTGCAACATTTAGAAATTGTGCATCATCTAAATTCAAGATGAGATAAGCCATAGATTGATCATGGCTTTTCTGATCTGCAGCTGAAAATACTTGTGGTGGATTTTCAACAATATACCACAGCTCTTTAGCTTTCAGCAAACATTCCATTTTTGCAGCCCACACAATGTAATTCTTCTGGCCCAAACGAGGCACACAGCTTTCCTTAAATTCCATTGCAGACATTCTGCTAATTCTGCCTTGTTCTTATACTTTCTAAACACAGGCAATTTCTTCCAGCTTTAAATTACAATGCAGTCCTTAGTAAGTTCTGGGCCCATAACCTATTAGAGAATTTTAATTTCTCTAATTGGTGAAAAATAAATCAGAAGCTCTTACAGTTGACTGCATTTAGCTGATTCAAATAACTTTATATTTATATAAAAATATTTACAATACCATTCTTCTTTACAGCAACATAGCTTAATGAAGATTTCTTACAGAGACAGACCAGAGATAAACCTTGAGACTGGAAATCCAGCTCCTAACTCAATACTCTTTTGCACAGACTTAGTAGCACTTTCTTCACATCGGCTGACTGAGTTACTACATGACTCTTCCTGTTCATGAATATTCCAACAATATTTTCTCGCCAGCATCCATAATCAGAAAGTCTCTCTCTCTCCCTCTCTCTCTCTCTCTCTCTCTCTCTCTGCTTAGCAAAAGTGAATTTGCAGTGAATTTCAGCTGCTTATTTCAGATGTCTCAAATGTATTCTACATGATATACAGTATCTGTTCAATATTCATATAACTGAGTTGTTGGTTATTGAAAGCTCACTGAATGTGTTGTGAATTTATCTGCTATTGATCAAAAATCTTTTGGACATGAGATTTTAAGACTAGATTTTAAGATGGGCAAAAAAGGAACAGGATCCATCATAAAATATATTCAGGAACTGAGTAAACAATACATTTGCATTGTTCCTAGGATGCCGTCTCACTATGAGATATTACCATATATCATATGGTATACCATATATATACCATACAATATGGCAATATTTTTACAGGCCAGCCTATGGAAAAAGGGGAACAAGATGTTTTTAAACCCTTCAATGTTTGTGTTTCTTTTGATAGACAATGGCGATTTTGACTTAAAAGATGCTCTTGACCCAAGTAAGTATATTAGAAAATAAAAAATTCTTACTGAAAAGTCAAATGTTTTCATTAAACTGAATTTTGTTTCAGCTTATGTCAAAGGTAGGTAACATTATTCTCATGGCAACCAACAGATAGATACTTCTTTTCATGCCCACTAGACTTCTTGCATCACTTGATTTTTAAATGATTTTTTAATTTTTTTTAAAAAATGAATGGGATGTGACATGCTACAAATCCAACCCTTAGTGTTTAACATCCTAATAATTTTCAATACTGGTTCTCCACATGTGCGTCCCATAAGGATTCTTAGAAAATTAAAATGATGGATGACTACAACTAGACCTTTGTTTAAACAACGTATTCCCACCAAATCAGATATAGTAAATGGTATATACCATTAATGTGTCACAAAATTTTAAACGTGGCTGTGCATGCTGCCCTGAACAGCGAGTAATGCACTAATGCAGCCTCATAAGATTGTAAACTTTTAACATTATTATGTGATTTTAGCAATATTTATATACATTAACTTGGTTAAAGACCAGTGGAACAGCTTGCCTTCAGAAATCGTGGGAGCACCATCACTGGAGCTTTTTAAGAAGAGACTAGACCAGGGATCTCCAAACTTGGCCTTTTTATGACTTGTGGACTTCAACTCCCAGAATTCCTCAGTCAATGTGCCTGGCTGAGGAATTCTGGGAGTTCAGTCCACAAGTCATAAAAGAGCCAAGTTTGAAGACCCTGGACTAGACAGTCACTTATCTAAAATAGTATAAGTTTTCCTACTTGAGTACGGGGCTGGACTAGAAGACCTTGAAGGTCCCTTCCAGATTTCCTATTCTATTCTATTCTATTCTATTCTATTCTATTCTATTCTATTCTATTCTATTCTATTCTAATGTTTTTCAAATTTGGCAACTTTAAGCTATGTGGACTTCAGCTGCCAGAAGCCAGCTGCGGAATTCTGGGATTTGAAGTCCACACATTGTAAAATTGCCAAGTTTAGAAAACAGTGATCTAGCCTAAAGCTCTGCTTTTTCTTAGTGTGTTACCACATATGTACAGGCAAAAATGAACTATGGCTGACCCTATTTAAAATTTCAAGATCAGCCAATGTAAGCTATACACACTTGCTTCCAAAGAATATAAATACATACCTCTTTATTAAAATATTATTTATTTATTCACGTTGTTGTTGTTATTATATTATTATTATTATTATTATTATTATTATTATTATTATTATTGATGGTGATGATGATGATGTTGGAAGTGACCTTGGAGGTCATCTAGTCCAGCCCCCTGCTCAGGCAGGAAACCCTATACCATTTCAGACAAATGGCTGTCCAATCTCTTCTTAAAGACTTCCAGTGTTGGAGCATTCACAGCTTCTGGAGGCACGTTGTTCCATTGATTAATTATTCTAACTGTCAGGAAGTTTCTCCTTAGTTCTAGGATGCTTCTCTCTTTGGTTAGTTTGCATACATTGCTTTTTGTCTTGCCTTCAGGTGCTTTGGAGAATACCTTGACTCCCTCTTCTTTGTGGCAACCCCTGAGATATTGGAAGACTGCTATCATGTCCCCCCCACTTGTCCTTCTCTTCATTAAACTAGACATACCCAATTCCAGCAACTGTTCCTTGTATGTTTTAGCTTCCAGTCCCCTAACCATCTTTGTTGCTCTTCTCTGTACTCTTTCTAGAGTCTTAACATCTTTTTTACATCGTGGTGACCAAAACTGGATGCAGTATTCCAAGTGTTCCCTTACCAAGGCATTGTAAAGTGGTATTAACACTTCACGTGATCTTGATTCTATCCCTCTATTAATGCAGCCTAGCACTGTGTTGGTTTTTTGGGCAGCTGCAGCACACTGCTGGCTTATATTTAAGTGATTGTCCACTAGGACTCTGAGATCCCCCTCACAGTTACTACTATTGAGCAAAGTACCTCCTAAGCTATACCTGTGCATTTGGTTTTTCTTGCCTAAATGTAGAACCTTACCTTTTTCACCATTGAATTTCATTTTGTTAGATCGTGCCCAATGTTCAAGTCTGTCAAGATCCTTCTGTATCTTACGCCTGTCTTCGGGAGTTCCCCATCTATCTATCCCCATATATTCATATGCATCTAATTAGAGTGTTAGCATATTTCATAACATTTTTTACTAAGCAATATTGCATACAATATATTAATTTAGAAATAATTATCAAATAAAAAAAAATATTCGTCCAGGCAATCTTAGAGATAAAGTATTTGTGGAACTGAATATATCTTGAAGCTAAATTCCATTTGGTTGAACTTTGAGATATTCAGTATTTGTTTCTTGTCATTTTTTTAAATTGAGTCCTGAAAATTGCATCTCTTTGAAAGGAACTTTTTTCACAGGAAAATTATATAAATATTTTTAAAAACTTTATTTTTAAAAACTTTACCCAAGAGAGCAAAAGGGAACTGGCTTGATTTTCAGTCATTTTTAAGAATACTATTGATAAGTTTGTAAAGAATATTGGAAGCTTAAAATACCTCTTTTATTTTTGTTCCTCCTGAAAATAATGAATATAAATAGTATATTAATAGCAATTAGTAGACATGTGATATTGGGAATTAGGGGACCTTAAAAATGAAGAGTTCATTTGCTCAGCTTGTGCTAATTCTGAGGGTTTATAAAGAGAGGAGAAGATTGTGTTGTCAACATCACAATGAGTTTTAGAAATGACAACTAGCCTCCTTTTTGATAATCTTAATAATACAGTAATGTTCATTTACTTTGCTTAGATGATAAGAAGCCTTCTGAAGCAACCAAAAAGCCACCAGGGGGTAAGTATTAAATTGCAGCTGCTCAAATAAATACTACAGTGCTAAAGCTTTCTTTGTGCCAGATCTAAACTATAACTGAAATGTTCTCAATACTCTTTAAGGAGCTTTTCCTAATACTGTATACTGCTGGTTTGGACATTGTAACCTTTTTTGGAGTGGTTTTGTTTTTTTCCAGAGAGCAACTCCTGCTTAATTCTTAAAGATGAATGCCATTTTTTTTCCTGTCCCTTTCCATCAATTGCCCATTCCTAATGGTTATTGTAAAGAAAGATAAAAACAATCTTCCAGTATTGATAACAAGAATAATAATTGGCATTTATGGGCATTGTAATCCAAGGTGTTTTTCTGGAGAAGAATAGATTAAAGAAATGTTTATTGTTCCTAAAGAAATAAAATGTATGATAAGGAAATTTACTGTATATCTGGAAATATTTATTCTAGGTAACAAACCCCGACCTCTCTTATATCCTGACCTTAGACCATATTCAGATAATCATGGAAATGGCGGTAAGAAAGGAATATGTGTTATTTAGATCTATTCATAATATTTTTCCTTCCACTGGTTTGATTATGTTTATTGATTTGTAATATGTTGATTTAAGAAATTCCTTTAATGGTGGCAATGTCGGTGGCGGCACGATTGCAACTGGTAAGATTTGGTTTTGTTGTTAAGTTTTGAAATATTTAGCTACCTTTCTACTCTTTTCATTTAAATCAGTGGTTCTCAACCTTTTTAATGCCACGACCCCCAACTGGTCGTAAGTCGGGGACTACTCAACCGGTCGTAAGTCAAGGACTACTCAACTGGTGCAGCACTGTTTGCAGAATGGGACTTTTGGCAGGCTCAGCAGGGCAGAGACAGCCTGGATAATTCCTATCGGCTTTTGAAAGCCAATAGTATTAGACTCTATTCAAGAGAGTCTATTCTATTGGCTTTCAAAAGCCAATAGAATAAAAGGGAGTAGCACAGCTAAGGAAAAGGGGGAAAAAAATGGCCGACTGTGTTGTTTGGCGACCCCCGTGAAATGGTTGTTCGACCCCAAATAGGGTCCCGACCCACAGGTTGAGAACCACTGATTTAAATCCATGGATCAATATTACTGGAACATATTGATCAGCAGTTCTAATTTAATTTTTAGTACTTTAAATAAAGTACTGTTCATATCATCTATATTAACTAGGCTGTAAAGTAGATGTATGTCATCAAATAAAGGGAATAGTATGTGAAATATGAATGTCTATACAAGAAAGCCTGAGTGGCAGTTGGCTGCAGGAATTTGCATGACCTTGAAAGACCAAGTTGTGTAACAAGGCCACAACAATTTCCTTTGGTGCTGCTTTCTTAATATTCCTCCTTACCTGTCTTTCATTTTAGTTATCATGCATAAGAATCTGCTTTGCTGTTCTGCATGATTGCTTAAGACTCTGCTTTTGACCATTTACATTTTTTAGATATCTGTAGTGTCAGCTCTGCCTGGCTTGGCTTGGGGGCTTCACAGGCATCCTGCCATTAAAAGAAGAGGGGGAGGAGGATGAAAGGAGGAAGAATGAAAGAACAATAAAGCTTTGTATACATGATAAGAAATTGGGGGGGGGGGGGAAATCACAGGTGAGAAGGACCAGATCCCATGGCCAGGCACCCTGAGAAATATGTGGATTACCCCCAAACATCTCAGAGTTCTCAAAACATCTTGGTGAGCTTCAGTTGGCTGGAAACGGTCTGATTATGGGGGGACTGAGGGCTGGGGCAAACCTACATCTCATTTTTGTATCCAGTGAGCATGGTAATTTCAGAGCAAGCTTGATTTTACTGCAACCAACACTCTTAGTAAAAGAACCCTTTGCTCTAACCAAATGGAGTCAAAGGCTTTTCTTTCCTAAGGGATCGGATTGGTGCAGGTCTGACAGGTAGTTTCACATCAAATACCATCAAACCATTTGCAAGACACTTCAAGATGCATTTTGGTACATCAGCTAATGTTTCAGATAGATTCTGAAATCCTCAAGATGGAGAAAATGAGAGTATGAAAGACAGGGAAAAGAGTAACAACATAATTAATTTTATTTTTTAGGTGCCTTTAATGACCTAGATCTCAATGATGGGAAATCTTTACCTCCACGCCCAGCAGGTAGCGTATAGATTCTTTTTCAGGTGATTCATGTTCCTCTACTTTAGCAATGTGGCAAAATAATTTAATTGGTAGATTTGCTTTTAACAAGCATTTTAATCCATTATAAGCAGTTTGAAATTCATACTTTAACTTTTATAGAAGTCTGTTATATAGGGGAAATTGCCAAGGTTCTCAATGTTATTTTATAGTCTACTATTTTTTTTTATTGAAATTTTTTTGAAAATTTTACAAAAAACAAAAAAAGACAACAACAAAAAACAAGACAACCCTCACCCAAACCCTCCCAAACCACCCCCCTCCCTCCCCCCGAGCTTCCCAGAGCTGAATATAGGCTTAATTAAAATTTTAAAAATTCTAAAAAAAATAATCAACTTATAAGATAATTAACAATAAAATATATATAACAATAAAAACATAAGCATTAAGAAAAAAATACTTTAAAAAAAGAAAAAAAAGAAAGAAAAAAAGATATAAAAGAAAAGAAAAGAAAGAAAGAATACAATCTATAAAATACAAATTTAAATACAAATTATGAAAAAGCTAGATGGTATTTCTTTATAGCCAATTTGTATTGTATGAAATTTATCCATTTTTCCCATATGGCAAAAAATTTCTCTTGTGATTGATCCTTTAAGAAAGCCGAAATCTTTGCCATTTCCGCCAGATAAGAAACTTTTAAAAACCACTCTTGCAAAGTAGGCAAAGATTCCTTCTTCCAGTATTGCCCTACTAACAGCCTTGCGGCTGTAATGAAATTTAGCATCAATATAGTCTCTTGAGTATCACAATTGGTAACAATACCTAACAAAAATAATTGTGGGGTAAATTTTACCCTCCTTCTAAAAATTCTTTGAATATTCCACCATATCTTAATCCAAAAAGCTTTTATATTTTTACACGACCACCAGATATGATAGTAAGTAGCATTCAAACATCCACATCTCCAACATTTAGGCTGTAAGTCAGGAAACATACGAGACATTTTTTGTGGCTCAAGGTGCCATCTATAAAACATTTTATAAAAGTTCTCCCTTAGGTTCTGGGCTTGCGTAAATTTAACATTTCTCACCCAGATAATTTCCCAGGTGTCCAATAGAACTGGTTCACCAAAATTTTGTGCCCATTTAATCATACATTCTTTAATTAATTCTGATTCTGAATCCAGTTCCACTAGAACCCCATAAATTCTCTTAATATGAGTTCGCCTTTGATCTCTTACTTGTTTAAAGAGATTCTCATCTTCTCTAAGCAAGCCTGTACTATTATCCATCTTCCATCTATCCTGTCTATATTGAAACCATGAATAAGTAATATTTTCATATACTAAATCTTCCAAAGATTTTAACTGCCAATTTTGACCATCCCATTTAAGTAATTGTGTATAAGAAACCCTATCCATTTTAACTCCTCTCCTTATCCCCTCTATTGCATGCCCAGGTATAGCCCATAGTGGTATTTTAAAATCACTTTTATAATATTTCCTCCAAACCCGAAGTAGAGGAGTCCTTATAATATGAGATTTAAAAACCTGATCCACTTTTTTATTAAAAATTAGATAGGCATGCCATCCAAAAAGTAAGTCCCAACCCTCCAAGTGGAGTATTTCTACATTTGTTAAGTTTACCCAATCACTAATTAGTGTTAAAACCACGGCATCATAATATAATTTCAAATTCGGTACCTTGAGTCCACCTCTTTCATGGAAATCCTGCAAAATTTTGAGCTTTACCTTTGGTTTCTTCCCTGCCCAAATGAATTTATTAATACCTTTCTGCCATTCATTTAAATTAACCTCATTCTTTAAAATGGCTAACATTTGAAACAAAAAAAGAAATTTTGGTAAAACATTCATTTTAATCACTGCAATTCTTCCCATAAGAGATAACTGTAACTTCTCCCAATTCTTTAAGTCTTTCTGTACCCTGACCCACAGCCTTTCATAATTATATTTATACAATTTTGCATTAGAAACAGACAAAGTAACCCCCAAATATTTTGTCTTATCAACAACCTCAAAGTCAGTCAAATTAACCAAAATCTGCTTGTCCAAATTAGTCATATTTTTAGGTAATATTTTAGTCTTATTATTATTAATTTTAAAGCCCGAAACCCGTCCATATTGATAAATCAATTGTAGTAACTTTACTACAGAATAGGTAGGTTGAGACAAAGTAACCACCAAGTCATCTGCAAAAGCTCTTAACTTATATTCTTTTTTGTTTACTTCTATTCCCTTTATTTCCTGCGACTCTTGAATTTTAATCAGCAAAATTTCCAATGTTAAAACAAACAGTAACGGTGACAATGGACATCCCTGTCTTGTACCTTTTTCTATTGCAAAAACCTCTGACAAACCCCCATTGACAATAATTTGTGCCATTTGTTTTTGATATATAGAACCAAAAGCTTGTAATATTTTTTCTCTAAAGTTCATCTCCTCAATTACTCTTAACATAAACTGCCAGTTCAATTGGTCAAAAGCTTTTTCAGCATCTAAAAATATCAGCCCAGCAGAGATTTGGTTATTTTTATCTAAATATTCTAATAAATTAACAACTTGTCTAACATTATTTTTCATATACCTACCAGTTATAAAACCCGATTGATCCTTATGTATAAGCTGATACAAAACCCTCATGAGCCTATTTGCTAAAATTTTTGTAAAAATCTTATAATCTACATTTAAGAGAGATATAGGCCTATAATTCTTTGGTAAGGTAAGATCTTGATCCTCTTTTGGAATCAAAGATATAAAAGCACTGCGCCATGACGGAGGAATCTCTGAACCCTGTAATATGTTATTAAAAAGCTCACATAAAGGTTGGGTCATCTCTTCTACTAAAGTTTTGTAATAAATGGATGTCAAACCATCCGTACCCGGCGCTTTGCCTAATTTTAATTGTTTAATAACTGTCACAATTTCCTCATTGGTAATTAACTCATTAATTTCTTGTTTCTGATCTTCTGTTAATTTAGGAAAATTGGCCTCACTTAAATAATTATTTATATCTAAAAATTGTACATTAGTACTCTTATATAATTTTTGGTAATAATCTAAAAAAGATTTCTTAATCAACTCCTTCTGATACACTAATTTGCCATTGTAATTTATTTTATCTATAGTTCTCCGTCTCTGTTTCTTTCTTAATTGATAGGCCAACCATCTCCCTGGTTTATTAGCATTACAAAATGTATTTTGTTTCATAAACAATAAGTTAGTTGCAGTTTGATCAGCCATCAGCATGTTAAATTGTGTTTTTAACAATTTTATAGATTCTTTAATCTTTTCATCTGTAGGATTTAGAATCAGAGACTTTTCTTTTAATTTAATCTCATCTTCCAATTCCTTACGTTTCTGGATCTGCTTTTGTCTATGGACATTATTCATTTTTATCAGAATCCCACGCATAAAAGCTTTACCTGCGTCCCATACCATTGATATTGATGTTCCCTTGTGCATATTTAAAGCAAAATAATCCTTTAAACACTCCTTTAATTCTTGAACATTCCTTTCTTGTCTAAATAAGTTCTCATTCACCCTCCAGGATCTCCTCTCCTCTTTTTCATGAACCAATTCCATCCAAACTGGACTCTGATCCGTCAATGACCTAGGAAAGATTTTAACATTCTTTACCCTGTTATATAAATCAGTTGTAATCAAGAAAAAGTCAATTCTTGAAAAAGATTGATGTCTATCTGAGAAAAAAGTAAAGTAAAGTAAAGTCTCTCTCCTCTTGGTTACGTTCACACCAGTAATCCCTCAGCTCCCAGTCCTCTTTCAGATCAAAAAAAGCTTTGGGTAATTTAGCCTGTTTAAAAAAAGTGGAAGAGCCTTTTTTGTCCCTTTGTGTATCTAAAACACCATTCCAATCTCCCATTAATATCACAGATGTATAGTCCAACGAAATTATTTTCTGATGTAACAGTCTGTAAAATTGTTCCTGTTGTTGGTTTGGTGCATACAATCCCACTATAAGTATTTTCTTACCATATAAACCCAGTTCAATCATAACATATCTTCCTTGAAAATCTGATTCTACCAGACGAACTGGTAGATTTTGCTTGACATAAATAACCACACCCCCTTTTTTCCCAGGGGCAGGAGATACAAAGTGAGATCCCAGACGAGCGTTGAGTAAATACTTTTGATCTTTAAGTTGAATATGAGTTTCCTGCAAACAAATAATGTCATTATTATGTTGCTTTAAATAGTAAAATATTTTCTTTCTTTTCTGGGGAGAATTAAGGCCGTTAACATTCCAGGTCCCCCATTACTATTGTGATGTGCTTCCTACATACCTTAGTTAGCTGACTAGCAAAAAGTTCATCTATTTCCTCTAAGCCAATAGAATAGACTCCCTTGAATAGAGTTTAATTCTATTGGCTTTCAAAAGCCAATAGGAATTGTCCAGGCTGTCTCTGCCCTGCTGAGCCCGCCAAAAGTCCCATTCTGCAAACGGTGCTGCACCAGTTGAGTAGTCCTCAACTTACGACCAGTTGGGGGTCGTGGCATTAAAAAGGTTGAGAACCACTGTTGTAGAGGAACTCTTTAGAACTAACAGTCACTATTGTGAAGAACCAGGAGGGGAGCGGGCTTAGAAAATTAGGCATAGTGCTATTCAGCAAGGTTTTGAAGAAGAAAAGACAACATCTGGTTGAATTCAACGTGGAGGGATTATTTCTGTGTTTTGTAGACAATCTGTTGTATTTGTTATATAATGGTGTGTCTACTAACCAAGAAATTATCACTAGAGCCAGGGAATTCCTTAATAGGCTCAGCATTTCTACAGGGCTCAGAATGGATTTTTCACAGATACACTTATTTGAAGAGTATTTGGGTATAACCCTTGTTTAATCATCAAGGGTGGGGGTGGAGGCTTTTTGTCACTGGAAGACCCCAACAAGAAAAGCTGGAATTTATGTTGCTACACAAAAATCATTACTGTGGGGTAAAAAACATCAAAGAGTTCATGGGTGTACATTACTTCTGTGAATGT